ATTTTTTAATATTTATTTTTTAGTTCTCGGCGGACACAACATCTTTGTTGGTATGTGGTGCCGAGGATCGAACCCGGGTCGCACGCATACAAGGCGAGCGCACTACCGCTTGAGCCACATCCCCAGCCCCTCAAATTCTTCTCTACAGGCCTCTAAAACTTCTGCCTTCTCCTTCAATTTCTTCAGCTTGTTTGTGAAGGGATTCCCTGTCTTTAGGCAACTGTAGTCCACTGCAGTTTCCTTCCCGCTCAACTGGATGCCTATGCTTTTCTTCAACCACCATGTCTATTCTTTCTTTTCCTCTTCCACTATCTTTTCAACTCATTGCTGCACTTTTTCGGCTCAGCTTCTTAAATTTTGGCATTCCTATTTCAGCTTTTCACTGTTCCCTTTAGCATTTGGTTTGAATTCGTCAAATCCACTCTGACTGTGCAAGGGAGATCTTGCATCTGCAAACTACTCCTTTGTTGTTTCAGGTCAGAATTTTCATTTTTCCTTTCTCTGCATTTTTGGTGTTCACAGGTTGTCGACATTTCAGCCTAATACCATGAAGACCCTTCTGGCCGACTCTCTTGCCATGTATGGAGCAGATTTCTTTCTCCTCACACAGATCCTTTTCAGAGGGCTTCCAGACTTCCAGTTGCACTTTTCATTTTCTCTAGATCTGCTACCTTGTTCTTGAACTCCAGCTTTTCATTTTGTTGTATATTAATTTTTTATAACCTCATTCCCTGGCAGCTTGTATTTTTTATATATTAATTTGTAACCATTTTTTCTTTCAGAGACATGGTCTTGCTATTTTCCCCAGGCTGGCCTCCACTTCTGGGGCTCAAGCAATCCTGATGTCATCTCCCCCCCCCCTCCAAAAAAAGCTAGACTATAGACACATGCCACTGTGCTGTGCTCCTTTCCTATCAAGAGCACCTGGTGCTCAGTGGCTGACATTCAAGTGACTCAGTTATGTTCACCCAAGTCTTATTCCTTTCTCAGCTCACTCCTAGAGCTTGCTGCTTCACTTTTATTTGTTTTAAATTCTTGGGGCACTTTACCACTAAGCTACAACCCCAGCCCTTTTCTTTTTCTTTCTTTTCTTTTTTTAAAATATCTTTTTTATTTATTTATTTTATGTGGTGCCAAGGATGGAACCCAGGGCCTCACACATGCAAGGCAAGCACTCCACCACTGAGCTACAGCCCCAGCCCATAGCCATTTTCATTTTGAGACATAATCTCATTAAGTGGCTGAGGACCTCACTAAGTTTCTCAGACTGGCCTCAAACTTGGGATCTTCCTGCCTCAGCCTCCCAAATTGCTGGAATTACAGGTATGCACCACCATGCGTGACCTACCTTTAGTTTTATCTATTATGTTTAGTCACCTATTTTGAATATTTAAGTTATTTATTGGTCAGTGTATTTCTTTCTTGTTCAATTTTATATTATTTACTGATTAAGAGATACTTTGTTGCTTGATTATAGTGGCTGCCAGCCCCCCCAGTTGGGCTTCTAGTCCAGTAGGCAAATATTCAACCACTGAGTTCCACCCCCACCCATTTGCAGCTTTCTTTCCAAGAATTTGGTCCAATAGTTTAGCTAACTTTTTCAGTTTCCAGGGATCTGACTATAGCCTGAATATCAGCCAACCACCACACCTGTATTCTTTGGCCATTTTCTACCTAAGCACCAGAATTCTCTTTTTTGGTCCTTAATTCTGCTGTCTGCCTCTTAATATTTTCAATTCTGATATAAGTAGCATTTTTCTTGGACAAGCCACTCCATTCCTGTGCTGCTTCTTAAGGGATCCACACCAAGTTTATAGTTTATGTAGGCTTGCAATCTCTTATATGTCTGTTCTTCTAAATCACCTTTAAATTCTGTTTTTAGTGTTCAGGTTCTGATTTGAGAAACATGTCATAGAAAAGCTTATCATATTCAACTTGATACTTTTCCCCTTCTACACCCAAATTCCCAAAATACACTCTGTCATTGGAGTCTCTAATTCTTTGTTGAATTTGGGGTCTTAACAGTTCCATTTTTGGTGGCACTGACATGTGCAGCTTGATTTCTCCTAAGTCTTTAGTTTTCTCTACAAATTCTTCTCCTAGCTCTTAAAGCACAGTTGAAATTTTTCTTATCCAGTTTGCTTTTTACTTAACAGGCACTTAAATTAACTTTGTAACTTTATGTATTCATTCTGCAACCTTGTATGTCTCACTTTCAGAGTCTAATGGCTAGTTTGCTGATGTTCCCATCCTTAACTTTCATTGGTTAACATGTTTTGGAATGCAGGTTGAGAAGTTGTCAGCACACTGAACCAGGAGGGGAAAATGTTGAGGAAAGTGTCCACATTGCAAAGTGAGCTGATACCCACATAAAACTAAATTCTAGCTTTCTTAATGTCCAGTTTTCTTTCCTCAGCAGACCAAAATACCAGACTTATACACACTCCTTGCAATGAGTGCACATAAAACTTAAGAGCTAGGCCAGGGAACTCAGTGGTAGAGTGCTTGCCTACCATTCATGAGGCTATTAGTTCAGTTGCCAGTATTACACACAAACAATGGTGACCTGTGTTCTGGCTGGGCTTGCTATAGCAGACACCTCCACAGCTCTGATAATGAACATCCACTCAACTCAACTCATCTTATGGAGGCACTGGGGTTAAGAGATATGATCCTACATGTAAGGTGTTGGTACAGCCCACAATACCTGGCAGGACCCTAAGCAAAGAGGAGGTGGGACAAGGAAGAGGTGACAGGGCAATGAGGAGGCAGAGAAGAGTCAGACTTTAAACCTTGCGGAGATATCCGAGATATCCTATGAGAGCCCTGAAGGCAGAGAAGGTAGCACGCACTAAGAAAGGTCCTTCTCCTGCACAGTGGACTGCCTTTTCAGGGATGTGGGGCCAACACATCACCTCAAATTGCTGCCCACTTCCCTCTATCTTTTTAAGTGTCTTCTTAGTTGCAAAATACTATGTGAAATAGTAAAAATTCCATGGAGAAACTTAAGACAGAGCCCAGCCTCTAGGAGGTCAGATGCTCCCAAGGAGTGAGGTGATAAATTCTAGGGCTGTTTTGGGGAGGGTGAGACAATTACTTGTAAACAGTCACTCAGAGTTAGGAACAACTGCAAAGCAGTATTTAACTCACACAAGAAAAAATATGAGTATCTTCTATGTACAAGGTTTTCCCCTAAACTCCAAGATTATTAATATATGGTTTCTTCCCAAAATGAGCATGTATATCAGTGATATGAATAAGAAATTTCAGAAACAGTTATAGTAGGGCTGGGATGACCCTATGAGATG